CAAGCGACTCAGAAGTGAGGCTATAGTTAGAGGACGGTAGTTTTCAGCCCGACCACCGTCCTTGCCCTCCTTCAACAGCAGGGTTGTGCGATTCATCCTCCATTCCGTGGGCTGCTTCCCAACAACCAAGAGGAAGTTGAAAAGCAGCTGGAGGACTTCATGGCTCGTCCGGCAATTCACGTCAGAACGCTTCACACCGTCGAGACCTGGGGACGAATTTGGCTTCGTCCGGGAGACCCTGTTGCCAATTAGATTGGCAGTGACAGGCGTGAGGACCTCTCCCACGTGGAGAGAATCCTCAGGGTCCCCCATGTCAGGAACTACGATCGCAGGTTGCTTCTCACTGTCTCTTATAAAATAACTGGGTTTTCTTCTGGTAACATTGTTTTACACTGCTGTACCCAGAGATCCAATGAAAGAGCATCATTACTATGTCTTCTTCCATCCCTTATTTCAATTTGGAAACTTCTTTTCATATTATCAACATCTTTGTAATTTAGCAAATCTATAGGTTTTAAGGACTCTTCTAATTTATCCCTAAAGGTATTAACAATCCTGCAAAAATAAAAAAAGTTAGTTAATAAATACACACAGGAATTTTTTTATTAAATATATTTATAAATATATCAATAAATATATATTTTCTACCGGCAACCAAGCAAATCTCTAACAAAAGAATTGTAAAATCCAGTTTAATTAACTAATTGTCATTAAATAGAAACTCTACCTAAATAATAGATAAAAAACCTTTTTAATTTTTAATTAATTTCAAATATAATTTAAAATTTAAACCTATGGAAGAATGCACAAGAGTGATAATTTTAAATTACATTCCACATACACCAAAAAAATTATATTTGAACATACACAATATGGCTCATTCTATTTTTTGAGGTTTGAGGTCACAAAAAAGTAAAATGACCTATATATACCACCAGATTATAACCATTGATTAAGGTCACTTAACGTTATAACTATAAATTATGCCTTAAAATTATACCAAATCAAATCTTTATGCTAATTAGCTATTATAGGAATGTCTTACCTTGTGATTCTTGGCAAAAAATGCAGCAATATTTATATTACTTCTCAAACTAAATTTTAACTGATATTTCTAAATTGGGACCTAATAAATTCTTCTCAAAGGTTTTTAAAAATATCATTGTTGCTTGCATTAAAAAGTTCTTTAATTTTATGTTTAGAAACTTTTAATTGTCTCCTTAATTTACAAATATATGCACATTTAATTCGATAGCTATGGAGTAAAATTAGAAATATTTTCATTGTCAATAAACAAATAAACATGTGTGTTATTAAATCCTGTGAAACATTTTCAGTATCATCAAAAAAAAAGAATTGCAATTTGTTATAATCTATTATGTCTAGAATTTGTAAAGCTTGATTCACTAAAGTGATCTTTACACAAAAGACATGTAGTAGTTGTGTATTTAACTTTATTTATAGGATTTTCGTTAATTTTAAGAAACCAAGCTTTTTAACGTGTCTCATCTATTGGGAATTTAAGAAATGTTTTTCAACATTACATAATACTTTTTTTGCAGGTATTATATCTGCATGCACACTTTGCAATTTATGTCATTTTGGGATAAAAATATCTATAATTACACACTTCTTTGAGAATGTTATTTCAGTCTACATCTCAAATCATTAAGTATTATGGCTTGATTATTTGCGTTGACCCCATTATTTTAATATTTATTTCATAAGTTTCTTACCAAACTGCCTAGGTCCTCATTGACTTCCCCTCACGGAACAATTACATCCAATGGATATTTAATGGATATCCTCTACGGAAATCCAGGATATACATAGGATATAGGGTAACTTTGCTCCAATCTAAAGTTTGCATTATAACGCCATTATTTAAGTAGATGGAGCAAAGTTAAGCATGTGTTTTATAGACTTTTTTCCGGGGTTCACGACTGTTGGGAAAAAAAATTCAAAATAATAATAATAATATTAATCGTCTTTATTTAAGTAAAATATTACAATAATATAGTTATTAAATATTTCACATAAAAGTGGCACACAATGGCAAAGTTTAGCCCAAGGCTACTCTAACACTTAACCAAGTGTGATTTTATAATTATATATATCTACATACATATATATACATACATAAACATAAATACACATAAAATAAAATAATAAAAACAATTTGAAAAATAAACAAGTTTTTCGGTTTACAGGTTAGTAAATATATATATATATATTAGGGTGTGCCAAAAAACCTCGATATTTTTTTTTTCTTGCTCTCAACCCAAAATATCGTAGAATATGTCCGAACAAATATTCTGTTAAAAGCGGAGCTCATAATTTCAATTTTAAGAGGTCCTCCATCGAATCTGAAGTTTTGCCGCTTAAATAACACAGAAAACTGACTTTTTTACCTTATTTATTCTTGCAACCTAGGAAGAAATTTTTTTTTCATAAAATCCATGACTAATTCTTACAAAGCATTAAATTTGGAAGAAAAAATCTTATTAAGCCGAATTTCTATTTTCATTATTTGATTTTTTACAGAGCTTTAAATTTAAAATTTTACGTTTTTTGCCTTTTTCAGCTAAACTATTTAAGTTAGACGAAAAAGTCAAATGGCAATATTTTAGCTTGTCTGATGGACCACAAAAAAGTTTTAGGCGAATTTTTTGTATCGTCAATATTCTTAAAGTTACAGGCGTATAAAATCATCATTTTTGTATTATTAACTTTAAATTTGAAGCTCTGTAAAAAATCAAATATTGAAAATAGAAATTCAGCTTAATAAGATTTTTTTGTCCAAATTTAATGCTTTGTAAGAATTAGTCATGGATTTTATGAAAAAAAAATTTCTTCCTAGGTTGCAAGAATAAATAAGGTAAAAAAGTCAGTTTTCTGTGTTATTTAAGCGGCAAAACTTCAGATTCGATGGAGGACCTCTTAAAATTGAAATTATGAGCTCCGCTTTTAACAGAATATTTGTTCGGACATATTCTACGATATTTTGGGTTGAGAGCAAGAAAAAAAAAATATCGAGGTTTTTTGGCACACCCTAATATATATATATATTAGGGTGATTTTTTTTTTTGAATATTTTTTTTTTTGCTCCCGTCCTGAAATTTTTTTGAAAATACCCCAAAAAAAATTCCCTGAAAGTTTGAGCCCTTAATATTAATATTAAGTGCTCGACCAAGGCGTGCAAAGATTTTCCATTTAAAATACACGTGAAATTACGGTTTTTTCCTTCAGATTTCTATAGCTTAGCGGCATTTTATGGTATTGTTTCGACCATAGACATGTATTTCTCCAAATTGAACGCTCTACAAAATTGTCCATTGCGGCGATGTCGTAACTCACATCGGCGAGGTAGTACGGGTCACTAAATCGTATTTTTTCACGAAATTTACGTTTTTTCGACCCTATCTCATAATTGAGAAGAGTTACAAAAAAAATGTGAATGACAAAGTTGTAGGATATTTAATTTCCTACAAAAAATGTCCCAAGTAACAAATCGCTAGGATCAATATTTGTCGAGATATTAAGCTGAATTAATTTTATTGTAAAATTTTTGCCGATTATTGACTAAAAATTTTTAAAATCTTGTTTTTTTTGTATTATCACACTTTTTGTTCAATATATTTTTGTAAGGTTAGAAAAGTAAAGCAAAGTGAATAATCTATAATATTTAAGCAAATAATCTATATTATTTAAGCTTTTATGTGAATAAATAATAAAAAAAAAGGTTAGAATACTAGAATTTCATTAATATCTTACATCGTTAAAGCTGATATTAGAAGAATCTTTAACAAATAAAGGATTTAGTGGTTCCTGCGTAAAACAGACAAATACAATTACTTTTATATAATTTAAATATTACTAACATTTATTAAATTAAAATAGTTTGAATCATATTAAGAACAATAAATTATTTATGAAAGTAGAAACAACAATAACAATAAATTATTATCGAACGTAGAAAAATTAATTGTTACATTGATTAATTATTAATAAATTTTTTACACGATGTGTATTGAGAGCGATGACACTGAACAGTTTGAAAAATTTTTTGTCTCTCATCTTCGTTATGAGTCAATGCTTCATTAAAACTTTCGGCTAGTGCTACTCCCCTTTCTGCAGTATCGTTAACCACTTTTAACATTTTAAATGTATCATAACATTGTTTATAGTCGAGATTTGATTCCCACGAACTTGGATGTGTACACATAAATTCATGAGGAAGATCAAATTGTTTAAAAATAAATAATGAGTTTGGATTAATAAAATCGCTTATGTTTTTTTCGGACAAGGACGTTATTTTTTCATAAGCAACTACAAAACGTTTACTCGACTTCGGGACAGCTACCTGGGAATTTATTTTCTGTACGATATTTATTTTCTCTTCTATAGAAGCTCTTTTTGATGAAACTGTGTCAATATATTGACACAGTTTCATCAAAAAGAGCTAAACACGCAAGTTGTTCATGTAAGTACCACAAATGCCGAGACAATTTATCAAGTGCTGTATTTGCGATTTCTGGATGTATTTTTCTGTATTCAATGAGATCTTTTACTAATTGTAAATCTGAGTTTGGAGCATTTATAGCACTAGGAGCAGTAAACCAAATTTTCACATAAAATACTATGATGAAAACACATATCTTGCGTAAATTTTTTTTTCTCTTGCTGCCATCTTAAACTGGTTTCTAAACAAATATATTTTTAAGCAATAGAGAGCTTTGGATAACCACCGTGCGTGATGAAAAGCACCAGGGGCTTTAAATTTGGCTTTATGACTATTGACACCACCCAAAAAGATACAGCTCAGTTCTAGAAACTCTTTGTAGTCATTTATCGGGTGATGATTCTAAAAATATAAGGAAAATTTAATAACTGCGGTAAGAACAGAAGATTTTTAAAAATTTCGAAGTAAAAAATATGTTTCAAAACAATTTGAAAGATTTAATGACTTTAAAAGAAGTTAGCTTAAAATAATGAATATTTCAAATATAAAATTTTCTAAATCTATTAATTAGCTGTTTTCCGATGAAGTCAAGAATATAATCCTTTTTTTGATTTAAGATAGGTGCAATATCTCCATCCTCTGTGCCGATTTCATACAAGGATTTATCAATTTTTTCCCAATTATCTCTGAATCTTTTGAAAATTGGTACATTCGGACTATTTGTCACTGGCCAAGCAACTTCTGCGACATTTCGTAACATCAATTCAGAAGTGTGATGACGGCAAGCAAGATATAATAAGTCACGGCCAATTTTATCTTCTAATGTACAGGCGCCACTATCACAACCTAAAACAAGAAATTACTTATTAATGCATTGTTGTTTAATTATCAGTTATTTAACTCAGTTACTCAGCTTATTTTTCAATAAATAAAATATATTTCAATAAATAAAATCTAAATTATTTAAAAACTTATTCTTCTCGAGTCGAAAAACAGATACTGCGATAGAAATTCATTCAAATACAATATTAACTTACCAGTATTTGAGCTAGTTGTATCAAAGCACATCGCTTTAATATTATCGCAAAGATTCCACTCTGTCAACGTTTCAAAAATGGCTGAAGCTTGGCTTTCTCCTGTGCCATCAGAGAGAATCGGAGTTTTCAAATTTTTGTCAGAACTTATACCTGTGACGTGTATTGATAGTCGTTCTGCTTTAGGTTGGTCGTTTCCCGCAGGAAGCACCTTCCCATCCCAGTGAACTACGAGAGAGTCATTAAAATTTTCTGTTTCTTTAATCGTATTGACAAATTCTTTTCTTTTTGAAATACGCGCATTGCGAATGGTGGAATAACTCAAGTTATATTTATCAATATCAAGTCCTAAACTATTAATAACGGCAGAAATAATGTACATCGCATTTCTGTTACTAGTTTTGGTTCTATCTAGTGCTAATACTAATTCCGAAGTTAAAATTTCAATTTTTTTTTTTTAGGCGCTGGCATTGTATCTTCAAAGTCTGAACAAGTTCGCTTTAATTCACTAGAATTTGATATGTGACTACAGAAACTATTTATAGACGACTGTTGAGATAATTTCATACCTGAAATAAAAAATGTTAAAATTGAATAAGTGAAGATAATAGCTTATTGTTAAACAAAACTAATATAATATTAAAACTAACCAATTTCTTCCATATTGTTTTGATTTACATTATTAAAAATTTCTTCTTCCATAGCAGACTGATTCCCAGAAGTTTCTTCTGACAGAATGTCAATATTTGGTAAATGAATATTTCTATTCCCTTCACGACACTCTGTAAGGAATCGTTGTAAATTTTCTGGCAGATTTTTTACTGCTGTACAATTCGCAATGTCAAATAATTTATCAAGACGGTTGCTAAACTGTTCCACATTTTTTTGTTGTCTTTTTGATTTCTTTACACGACTCCGATGTTTCCTCAATTTTATGTATTCACTGTGAATGTTTTCCAATTTTTGAATACTGTGCTGAGGTCATGAAGTCGGAATCAAAAGATTGGCCCAAACAGCATTCGTATCACTGATCACACTACTAGCACTTTCTCGTATACTTAATTTTAAGGATTGATGTTTGTACATGAAGAGATTCAATACATCTCTACATGAAGGTAACTTATTGTTATTTATTGTACAAATTTCAAACCCAATTAAATAATTATACACTTTATTACCAATTTGCTCAGACATCTTCAACAGTAATAATAAAAATGTAACACGGCGTAAGCTATAAAAATGAGACGTGACTATGTTCAGTGTTCACAGAGCTTTGTTCTGGAGACTCGCTGCATTAGCGTCATACAGTAGAGAACAAAGAGAGCACTGCAAATAGGTGGGTGATACATTAAGCTTGTTCAAGGTCAAGTAAAAAAATAGCTGTTTTGAGAGGAGAGGGGGTTTCAATCAGCGGACAATGATTGAGCTTTCGCTAGTCGCGCACCTCTTCCCAAACATCGTTGATCGTGCGGTGAGGGAATCGCCACAACGTTAGCTTTACTGCAACGTTGCCGCGTTTAAGATTAGTCACCATATTTGACTATTTCTGACAGTTAAAAGTAACTAATTTCTTAAATCGTTTACGGCCAACAACAAAGTATTATTTGAATTAAATGCATATACCTCTCCATGACCCATAAAACAAATAAAGATGCAAATAGTTTATCTCAAAACAGTAACACAAATAATATATTAAACTTTAAAATATTATGAACAATATTTATTGACAAATAAAATTTATTTTTATAAGAGCGGCTGACAGCCGACTGGTTATGAGGTTAGGTTGACAAGCTTCTCAAGTGACAGACGTAAGTTCAATCCCAGGCTGGGTCAAAACTTTTTTAAATTCAAAATTTACTAATTTAACTATTTCATTCAGTGGAATTTGACTAATTATTAGTGACTGCTTTTTCGCTATGACAATTAGTCAAATATGACTTATAATTAGTTATTTTTGACTAATTCATTTTAAGGAAAAGCTTTTTTATTATTTATTCACATAAAAGCTTAAATAATATATGTAGATTATTTGCTTAAATATTATAGATTATTTACTTTGCTTTACTTTTCTAACCTTACAAAAATATATTGAACAAAAAGTGTGATAATACAAAAAAAAAACGAGATTTTAAAAATTTTTAGTCAATAATCGGCAAAAATTTTACAATAAAATTAATTCAAGGCTTAATATCTCGACAAATATTAATCCTAGCGATTTGGTTCTTGGGATATTTTTTGTAGGAAATTAAATATCCTACAACTTTGTCATTCACATTTTTTCTCTTCTCAATTATGAGATAGGGTCGAAAAAACGTAAATTTCATGAAAAAATACGATTTCGTGACCCGTACTACTACCTCGCCGATGTGAGTTACGACATCGCACATGTCTATGGTCGAAACAATACCATGAAATGCTGCTAAGCTATAGAGATCTGAAGGAAAAAAACGTAATTTCACGTGTATTTTAAATGGAAAATCTTTGCACGCCTTGGTCGAGCACTTAATATTAATATTAAGGGCTCAAACTTTCAGGGAATTTTTTTTGGGGTATTTTCAAAAAAATTTCAGGACGGGAGCAAAAAAAAAATATTCAAAAAAAAATCACCCCATATATATATATATATATATTAGGGTGACCGCAAAAAATCGATGTCGGAATTTTGTTCGTCTGGACCCCACAAAACGATTCCCCTTTCCAGATATTGAGATAGACGAAATTTGAGCTCGATTAAACGACGTTAACCCGTGCCGCTCGTCGCTCAAAGTTTGAAAAAATCAAAATTTTTGGAAAAAAAGCTGACATATGGAGCCATAACTCCAGAACGGTAAATAATAAAAACACGCTTAATATCTCAAAAGGAAGCTAATGTTGTTCTTCAAAATTTATATTCTATACATAATTGTTATTTTAAGTCAAACAGAGATACAACAGCCTTTGACCCCAAAAACGTGCCCTGGCAGCATTAGGAGCCAGTTTGGGTGTATTCTAAGAGTTTTACGGGTTTTTACATAATGTGTCTCGGAATTAACATTTTTTATTAAAAACTATTTTGGAACTTAATTTTCAAACAAAAAGAGCCTTTTTTTCAAATATAGTCAGGTAATCCCCATATAATAAAAGATTAAATTTAAACAAAAGGCTCTTTAAAATTATTTTTACTATTTGCTCCAAAAATTATTATTTAGTTTTACCTGTGTGTATTTTACTAAATAAAGGTAAAGGTTAAGTTTTAACAAAAAATCAGGTAGGTAATTACCTATATTTAATTTATACAATTATTTGCATTAATCCTTTTAGGAAAATATAAGACGGCCTATAGAGTGGTATGCTTATGTTTTACGGATAAAATGGCATCCACATCAGGTGTACAAAGCCGAACCAAGGATAAAATATTTCTTGTGGGCGATCCCATTCACTAAATCACCGGTTGTAAACTACCCTCAAATCGTCAAGTTTTGTGTGTTTTATTTTATAATTTACGTGCTGTAAAATTAACTGTAAGAGAATCAGCAAAACTTGCCATACGAGAAGTGTTCATTTTTTGGGAGAAAGCTCGAATTCCGACTAAACATGAGCAAGATGCAATTACTAAGCTGGACAAACTTTACGCCGAGTGGAGAACTCTTCAAAAAGACCGGAAGAAAACATCGGAAACGGCTAAGAACAAATTTAAACAGTTCGTTGAAAAGTTGGATGATCTCTTTGATATTGCTCAGCAAGATGCCTTGGCTCTGATGAAATCGGAAGAAGATAAGGCGTTTTTCGTGAAACAGAGGCAGAAGGGCCGCCCAGGTTCCATGACTGGAGTGGATCTCAAGTTGTCTCGAGCTGAAGAAATCAAGGGGCAAAAGGAACTTGCAAAAATGAACCGACAAATCCAAGAAGGTATTTAAATGCAGAGTTGGTGGGATTATCTTTTTTTGATCCCACCATTACAGACTATGAAAAGTTGTTAATGGCTAATAAATTGGTCAGTAGCACAGATGAACCATCAGAACACGCTAGGGTTGTGAATCCAAAAGTTAGGAAAGAAAAATTAAAAGAGGTAGTTGATGGAGCATTGGCAAATTTACTTACCAAAGAAACATTTACATTCTTTAACCGATTTAATATAAAAACAGATTTCCTAAGACAACATCCAAACACCTGGCCTCAAAATAATGACTTCCAAGAAGGATTGAAAATTGTGAAAACATTAAAGGTAGTTAATGATATGGCTGAGCGTGGTGTTAAATTAATAACCGACTTTAACAACCTTCTGACTAAAGATGAAGGCCAAAAGCAATATGTCCTGCAAGTTGTAAGCAAATGCCGAGCATTATATCCTGACGTTTCAAAAACTACTTTAACAAAAGCTCTAGAATAGATTAGATAACTATGTAAAATCAACTCATGTAGTTACTACGTCTGTATCTTTTCTGTGTCTGTTTTGTATGTATTATATACCTAATTTTTATATTTTTAAATAAAAAATGTCATTATACTTCCACTTTAAACTCAAAAATATACCAATAAAAGCAAAATTTATCACTTAATAACAAAATATACGAAGTATGCTCCTAGTGGTACCAGGTCATGTTTTTGGGGCTAAATGTTGTTGTAACTCGGTTTGACTTAAAATAACAACAATTATGTATAGATTACAAATTTTTAAGAACAACATTAGCTTTCTTTTAAGATATTAAGCGTATTTTTATTATTTACCGTTCTGGAGTTATGGCTCCATATGTCAGCTTTTTGGCCAAAAATTTGGATTTTTTCAAACTTTGAGCGACGAGCGGCACGGGCTAACGTCGTTTAATCGAGCTCAAATTTCGGCTAACTCAATATCTGGAAAGGGGAATCGTTTTGTGGGGTCCAGACGAACAAAACTCCGACATTTTTTTCCACCCCCTATGAGTTGCGGTCACCCTAATATATATATATATATATATTAGGGTGTCCCAAAAAAAAAGAATATTTTTTTTCTTCTCGTCTCTTGTGAAAATATGTTGGTTTGTCATGTTTTAAGAGCTTTGTCAAAAGATCAGCACCATTAAAAAATTTTTAGGGGTCGCTCAAGATTTTTAAAAATTACCAAAATCGTCAAAAATTGGTTTTTTTTTATTTTAATTTTTTTTCTCTTTCCGATATTATTTTTTAATTTAAAAATAATAATGATTCTGAAAATTTCAAATCGATATTTTAATTTCTAAAGGTCGCTCAAGATTTTTTTAACTTTCAAGTAGAGTAGAGTATTTTGAATGTTTTCGAGCGACCTCTGAATATAAATATCAACGAACTTTTAGCGACCTCTAGAAATCAAAATATTGATTTGAAATTTACAGAATTTTTATTATTTTCAACCTAAAAAATAATATCGAGACGAGAAAAAGAATT